TTTTTAATCTTTTCTTCAGGAATAATAATTTAATCTCCATTTCTGGAACAATTATTAAATCTACTCTTGTGGAACAATAATTAAATATCTTCTTCTGAAAAAATAATTAAATCCCCTCTTTTGGAGTGTAGAGTGTAGAGTGTAGAGTGTAGAGTGTAGAGTGTAGAGTGTAGAGTGTAGAGTGTAGAGTGTAGAGTGTAGAGTGTAGAGTGTAGAGTGTAGAGTGTAGAGTGTAGAGTGTGGAGTGTGGAGTGTAGAGTGTGGAGTGTAGAGTGTAGAGTGTAGAGTGTAGAGTGTGGAGTGTGGAGTGTAGAGTGTAGAGTGTAGAGTGTGGAGTGTGGAGTGTAGAGTGTAGAGTGTGGAGTGTAGAGTGTAGAGTGTAGAGTGTGGAGTGTAGAGTGTAGAGTGTAGAGTGTAGAGTGTAGAGTGTAGAGTGTAGAGTGTGGAGTGTAGAGTGGAGTGTAGAGTGTAGAGTGTAGAGTGTAGAGTGTAGAGTGTGGAGTGAGAGTGTAGAGTGTAGAGTGTAGAGTGTAGAGTGTAGAGTGTAGAGTGTAGAGAGTGTGAGTGTAGAGTGTAGAGTGTAGAGTAGAGTGTAGAGTAGTGTGGAGTGTGGAGTGTAGAGTGTAGAGTGTAGAGTGTAGAGTGTAGAGTGTAGAGTGTAGAGTGTGGAGTGTAGAGTGTGGAGTGTAGAGTGTAGAGTGTAGAGTGTAGAGTGTAGAGTGTAGAGTGTAGAGTGTAGAGTGTAGAGTGTGAGTGTAGAGTGTAGAGTAGAGTGTAGAGTGTAGAGTGTAGAGTGTAGAGAGTGTAGAGTGTGGAGTGTAGAGTGTAGAGTGTAGAGTGTAGAGTGGAGTGTAGTGGAGGAGTGTAGAGTGTAGAGTGTGAGTGTAGAGTGTAGAGTGGGTGTAGGGTAGAGTGTAGAGGTGGAGGTGAGAGTGTAGAGTGTAGAGTGTAGAGTGTAGAGTGTAGAGTGTAGAGTGTAGAGTGTAGAGTGTAGAGTGTAGAGTGTAGAGTGAGTGTAGAGTGTAGAGTGTAGAGTGTAGAGTGAGTGTAGAGTGTAGAGTGTAGAGTGTAGAGTGTAGAGTGTAGAGTGTAGAGTGTAGAGAGTGTAGAGTAGAGTGTAGAGTGTAGAGTGTAGAGTGTAGAGTGTAGAGTGTAGAGAGTGTAGAGTGTAGAGTGTAGAGTGTAGAGTGTAGAGTGTAGAGTGTAGAGTGTAGAGTGTAGAGTGTAGAGGTAGAGTGTAGAGTGTAGAGTGTGGAGTGTGGAGAGTGTGGAGTGGAGGTGTGGAGTGTAGAGTGTAGAGTGTAGTGTGGAGTGTGGAGTGTAGAGTGTGGAGTGTGGAGTGTAGAGTGTAGAGTGTAGAGTGTAGAGTGTAGAGTGTAGAGTGTAGAGTGTAGAGTGTGGAGTGTAGAGTGTAGAGTGTAGAGTGTAGAGAGTGGAGTGTAGAGTGTAGAGTGTAGTAGAGTGTAGAGTGTAGAGTGTAGAGTGTAGAGTGTAGAGTGTAGAGTGTAGAGAGTGTAGGTAGAGTGTAGAGTGTAGAGTGTAGAGTGTAGAGTGTAGAGTGTAGAGAGTGTAGAGTGTAGGAGTGTAGAGTGTAGAGTGAGAGTGTAGAGTGTAGAGTGTAGAGTGTAGAGTGTAGAGAGTGTAGAGTGTAGAGTGTAGAGTGTAGAGTGTAGAGTGTAGAGTGTAGAGAGTGTAGAGTGTAGAGTGTGGAGTGTAGAGTGTAGAGTGTAGAGTGTGTGGAGTGTAGAGTGTAGAGAGTGTAGAGTGTGTAGAGTGTAGAGTGTAGAGTGTGGAGTGTAGAGAGTGTGAGAGTGTAGAGTGTGGAGTGTGGGAGTGTAGAGTGTAGAGTGTAGGTGTGGAGTGTGGAGTGTAGAGTGTAGAGTGTAGAGTGTAGAGTGTAGAGTGTAGAGTGTAGAGTGTAGAGTGTAGAGTGTAGAGTGTAGAGTGTGGAGTGTAGAGTGTAGAGTGTAGAGTGTAGAGTGTAGAGTGTAGAGTGTAGAGTGTAGAGTGTAGAGTGTAGAGTGTAGAGTGTAGAGTGTAGAGTGTAGAGTGTAGAGTGTGGAGTGTAGAGTGTAGAGTGTAGAGTGTAGAGTGTAGAGTGTAGAGTGTAGAGTGTAGAGTGTAGAGTGTAGAGTGTGGAGTGTAGAGTGTGGAGTGTAGAGTGTGTAGAGTGTAGGTAGATGTGTAGAGTGTAGAGTGTAGAGTGTGGAGTGTAGAGTGTAGAGTGTAGAGTGTAGAGTGTAGAGTGTAGAGTGTAGAGTGTAGAGTGTGGAGTGTAGAGTGTAGAGTGTAGAGTGTGGAGTGTGGAGTGTGGAAACTACATCTCCCAGCATGCCCAGCACTCACTTCCGGGTTCTGTTCGGGCTTGCCTAGAACTACATCTCCCAGCGTGCCCAGCACTCACTTCCGGGTTCTGTTCGGGCTTGCCTAGAACTACATCTCCCAGCGTGCCCAGCACTCACTTCCGGGTTCGGTATGGGGTGGCCCAGAAGTACATCTCCCAGCAGGCACTTTCTCATTCGTTCATGCATTCGTTCCTTCATTCGTTCCTTCATTCATTCGTTCCTTCATTCATTCGTTCCTTCATTCATTCGTTCATGCATTCATTCATTCATTCCTTCATTCATTCATTCCTTCATTCATTCGTTCCTTCATTCATCCGCTCCCTCATTCAGTCGTTCCTTCATTCGTTTCTCCATTCAGTCATTCCTTCATGCATTCATTCAGTCATTCCTTCATTCATTCCTGCATTCATTCATTCGTTCCTTCATTCATTCGTTCCTTCATTCGTTCATGTATTCATTCGTTCCTTCATTCATTCATGCATTCATTCATTCGTTCCTTCATTCAGTCGTTCCTTCATTCGTTTCTTCATTCATTCGTTCATGCATTCATTCATTCGTTCCTTCATTCGTTCCTTCATTCGTTCACCCTCCAATTCACTCATTCACCCGCTCATTCATTCACTCACTCCTTCATTCATTCGCGCCTTCATTCGTTCACTCCTTCATTCGTTCCTGCACTCACTCACTCGTTCCTTCAATCGTTCATTCACGCTCACCCATCCCCTCATTCATTCATTCACTCACGCACTCGTTCGTTCACTCGCTCACTCATTCATTCACTCAACTCGCGCTCACATTCATTCGTTCACCGCAGTTCTTCTCCAGTCCCGTCTGCATCAGTGATTCACGGACTCATTCATTCATTCACCCACCCCCCCGACGCACTCGTTCAGACTCACTCATTCACTCACAATCGCACTCGTTCGCTCGCTAATTCATCCATTCACTAATTCACTCAGCGAATCACTACTTCACTCATGGCCTCAACAATTCATTGCTTCACAAACTCACTGATGACTCACTCACTCATTCACTCACTCACTCACTCATTCATTCACTCACCCATTCACTCATTCAATCGTTCATTCACTCATTCAATCGTTCATTCACTCATTCACTCACTCACTCACTCATTCACCCATTCACTCATTCACTCATTCACCCATTCACTCATTCACTCATTCACTCACTCATTCACTCACTCACTCATTCACCCATTCACTCATTCACTCATTCACCCATTCACTCATTCACTCATTCACCCATTCACTCATTCACTCATTCACTCATTCAGTCACCCATTCACTCATTCACTCACTCATTCACCCATTCACTCATTCACTCATTCACTCACTCACTCATTCACTCACTCACTCATTCACTCACACACTCATTCACTCGTTCAGTCACTCACTCATTCACTCGTTCAGTCACTCATTCATTCACTCATCACCAATCGCGCCATTCGCGCACTCACGACTTCACTAATTCACCCAGTCGCTGATGCAACGATTCCCCTCGGTGCCCGAGTCATTAATTCACCGATTCATTGATCCGTCCGTCCCTTCATTCATTCATTCACTCATTCATTCATTCATTCCTCCACGGACACCGCGCCCCCCGGGAATCTCGCACCGCGATCCCCGCCGCCGGGGCCGCAGGGGCCGCACGGGAAACCCCAGCCCAGAGAAACTGAGGGGAAAAAAACAAACGGAAGACGAGAGACTTTTACAAAATAATAATAATAATAATAATAATAACAACAACAACAACAACAACGCGCGGCTCCAGAACCCGGAAGTCCCGGGGCGGGACCGCAGGAAGTGGCCCAGGGGTCGCTGGGAAACGTAGTCCTGGGGCTGATTTGTCCGCACCCGGAAGTCCCCTTCGTGAAAGACAGGAAGCGGCCGCACAGCCTGCTGGGAGACGTAGTCCACGGCTGTCAGAGCCCGAAACCGGAAGTCCCTGGCAGCGAAACCGGAAGCGAACGCCGGGCATCATGGGAAATGTAGTCCAGGGAACGCAGAGTACAAACCCGGAAGTTCCTTTCGTGAATACAGGAAGTGACCGCAGAGCCTGCTGGGAGACGTAGTCCCAGGCTGTCAGAGGCCAAAACGGGAAGTCTTTAGCCGGGAAACAGGAAGCAGCCACAGAGCATTCTGGGAAATGTAGTCCTCAGCCTTTAGAGGCCAAAACCGGAAGTCCCTCGCAGGGAAACAGGAAGTGAACGCCGAGCGTGCTGGGAAATGTAGTCCGTCGAACGCAGACTCCACCACCGATAGTCCCAGGGTAGAAAAGCAGGAAGCGGCCGCAGAGCATGCTGGGAAACGCAGTCCGAAACCGGAAGTCACCGGCAGCGAAACAGGAAGCGAACGCCGAGCATCATGGGAAACGCAGTCCCGGGCGCTGGGAGCCCAAACCCGGAAGTTCCTTCCGTGAAAACAGGAAGCGGCCGCGGGGCACGCTGGGAGTCGTAGTCCCGGCGCCCGGCTCCCTTCCGGCTTCCGGCCCGGCGCCCGCTATAAACCCGGCGGCGCCGGCGGCCGCGCGCGCATTCGCCCTGAGGACCCCGGCGGCGACGGACGGACCCGGCCACGCCCACCGCCCAGGCCCCGCCCACCCGCCCAGGCCCCGCCCACCGCCCAGGCCCCGCCCACCCGCCCAGGCCACGCCCACCGCGCCCAGGCCACGCCCTCCCGCCATGGCCGCCGCCCTCCTCCTCCTCCTCCTGCTGCTGCCGCCGCCGCCTCTGCGCGCGATGACGTCACCCCCGCCGGCCCCGCCCACCCCGCCGGCCCCGCCCTTCCGGAACCTCCGCGTGGACCCCGCCCTGCGCCGCCTGAGCTGGGAGCGGCCCCGCCCGGGCCCCCGGGCCGCGTGCGCGAAGGATGGGCGGAGCCCGGTGTGGGTGAGCAGGGGGCGGGGCCTGAGGGGCGGGGAGGCCACGCCCACCCGACCACGCCCACCCCGACCACCCCGACCCCGCCCACCCGGCCACGCCCACCCCGACCACCCCGACCCCGCCCACCCGGCCACGCCCACCCCGACCACGCCCACCTGACCCCGCCCACCCCGACCCCACCCGACCACGCTCACCCGACCCCGCCCACCCGACCTTCCCCGACCCCGCCCACCCCACCCCGCAGGCGGAGCCCGGGCGCCAGCACTGCGTGTTCCCGTCGCTCTCGCGCTGCCACGTGACCAACCTCACCGTCTTCGCCCCGGGCCGGGGCGGGGCCGCCTGGGTTCTCTTCCCCGCGAGCGGTGCGTGCGGCCGGGCCTGGGCGGGGCGGGGCGGAGCGTGTGACCCCGTGTGACCCCCGCGTGACCCCGCCCGACCCCGCCCAGACCCCAACCGCGCCGCCGCCGCCGCGGACCTGCGCTGCTGGCTGCACCGCGTGAGCCGCCTGAGCTGCCGCTGGGGGCGCGGCCCGGGCGCGCCGGACGACGTGCAGTACCGGATGTTCTGGCGGGACGCGGCGTGAGTGCCGGGCGGGGCGCTTCCGGGTCCACTTCCGGGTCCACTTCCGGTTCTCACTTCCGCTTCCGCTTCCGGGGTCCCCCCCCCCCCCCCCCGCAGGCTGGGCAGCGACCGCGACCGCGAGTGCCGCGGCTACGACGTGACGGACGCGGGCGGCGCCCGGCTGGGCTGCACGGTGGACGCGGAGGAAGGGGCGGGGCCGGGGGCGGAAGGGGCGGGGCTTCCGGTCGTGGCGGCGGTGACGGTGACCGGGAGCAGCGCGCGCGGCGCCGTGAGCTGCAGCGACGCCGCCGTGGACCTGCAGGCGGCGGGTGAGGCCGGGGGGCGGGGCCGGGCGGGCGGGGTCGGGCGGGCGGGGCCGCGGGGAATCCACGCTCACCCGGCCCCGCCCTCCCCGCCCCGGGTGCAGAGGTCCCGGCCCCGCCCTCGCTGCGCGCCGAGTGCAACGGCAGCGGCTCCGCCCTCGTGCGCTGGGCCGCGCGCAGCCGCTTCCACCGCCGCTTCCGCTTCGAGCTGGAGATCCGCAAGGTGGGCGGGGCCGGCCGGGGCGGGCGGGGCGGGGCGGGGGCCGGGGCGGGCGGGGCTGACTCCGCCCCGCCCGCCCCGGCCCAGGGTTCGCAGCCGCAGCCGGAGATCGAGCGGGTGAGTCGTTCATTCATTCACTCATTCATTCATTCACTCGCTCACTCACTCGTTCGTTCACTGACGCCGCCCCGCCCGACCCCAGACCTCCGAGAGCCACTTCCGCGTCCCCATCCCCGGCTCCGCCTCCTTCCGGGTGAGGGCGAGGCCGGACGACCTCGCCGAGTTCAGCGCCTGGAGCGACGCCGCGCGGTTGGGTGAGCTGGGCGGGCGCCACACCCGCTCTGACTTCCCGCCCGCTTCTGCTCACTTCCTGTCCATTTCCCGTCCACTTCCCGTTCACTTCCCGCTCACTTCCAGGGGTCAATTTCCTGTCACTTCCTTTTCACTTCCCCCTCATTTCCCGCCCGCTTCCCGCTCACTTCCCTGTCATTTTCCCGTCCACTTCCCGCCCGCTTCCCACTCACTTCCCCCTCACTTCCTGCTCTGTTTCCGCTCACTTCCCACCCGCTTCCCGCTCACATCTTGGGGTCACTTCCCGCTCACTTCCTGTCCGTTTCCCCCTCACTTCCTGCTCTCTTCCCGCTCACTTCCTGTTCACTTCCGTCCACTTCCCGCCTAATTCCCACTCACTTCCCCCTCACTTCCCGCTCACTTCCTGCTCTGTTTCCGCTCACTTCCTGCCCGATTTCCGCCCGCTTCCCTCTCGGATCCAGGGGTCACTTCCTGCTCACTTCCTGTCCGTTTCCCACTCACTTCCCCCTCACTTCCTGTCCATTTCCCGTCCGCTTCCCGCTCATTTCCTGGTCTCTTCCCGCTCACTTCCTGTCTGTTTCCCCCTCACTTCCTGTCCGATTCCCCCTCACTTCCCCCTCACTTCCTGTCCATTTCCCGTCCGCTTCCTGCTCACTTCCCTGTCATTTCCTGTCACTTCCTTGTCACCTCCCCTCATTTCCCACCAGCTTCCCCCTCATTTCCTGGTCTCTTCCCCCTCACTTCCTGTCTGCTTCCCCCTCAGTTCCTGTCCATTTCCCTCTCACTTCCCCCTCACTTCCCCCTCACTTCCTGCTCTCTTCCCGCTCACTTCCTGTTCACTTCTGTCCACTTCCTGTCCATTTCCCCCTCACTTCCCCCTCACTTCCTGGTCTCTTCCCGCTCACTTCCTGTCCGTTTCCCCCTCACTTCCTGTCCCCTTCCGGGCTCCCTTCCCGCCCCGCCCTCCCTGACCCCGCCCCTTCCTTCCTCCCTCCTCCCCCGCAGACTGCCCCGCCCCCGCGCGCCCCGCGACGCCGACGGCCGTGACCCTGGCGACGGCGGGGGCGGGGCTGGCGGCGATGGCGGCGCTGCTGCTCCTCTGCCGCAGGTGACGTGGGGGGCGGGGCCTGTGGATATGCAAACGAGGGGCGGGGCCTCGCCGGCGAATATGCAAATCACCGCAGACTTATGCAAATCGTGGCGACGTATGCAAATTTATGCAAATCCGGGCGTCCGCTATGCAAATGCGCCTGGGAGTTTATGCAAATCGCTGTCGGGGCCGGCGCTCCATGCAAATGTATGCAAATCACGGAGCAGTTCCGGGCCCCGGCATGCAAATCCATGCAAATCTGACCCGGTATGCAAATCCATGCAAATCTCACCCGATATGCAAATCCATGCAAATCTCACCCGATATGCAAATCCATGCAACTCTCACCCGATATGCAAATCCATGCAAATCTGACCCGATATGCAAATCCATGCAAATCTCACCCGATATGCAAATCCATGCAAATCGTTCGCTCCTGCAAACGTGCGCATTGGCCCAGGCATCTGCAATGCAAATCCATGCAAATCAGCCGGGCTCTGTATGCAAATGGCGCCGTCCGGGATGCAGATTTATGCAAATCGTGTGCGATCCTCAGCCATCCACGCCCAGCGCTTCGCTCCATGCAAATTCATGCAAAACGCCGGCCCTTTTCAGTGTCTATGCAAATCGTGCGCTTCCATATGCAAATTCATGCAAATCGTCCAGTGTGTGGAGGCACCCGCCATGCAAATGCATGCAAATAGCCCGCTCTTCATGCAGATCGCCCGCACATCCAATGCTGTGGCGAGGCGTCGGCTGTGCAAATCCCTGTGAACCGTTATGCAAATGCATGTAAATCGCACAGTTGGCTCGGGAAACCGATACCCAAATCCATGCAAATCGTTCGCTCTGCTATGCAAATTCATGCGCTGGGCCCAGGGATCCGCAATGCAAATGATATGCAAATTCATGGAATCCTTCGCTCGCCCCACATCCGCTATGCAAATTTACTGCAGATCACAGCTCCATCCTGCCGTGCAAATTTATGCAAATCTTCCTCTCTGTGCAGACGCGTGCGCGTCACGCAGCGCTATGCTAATGCATGCAAATCAGCTGTGCTCTGACTCGTAACTGTATGCAAGTCGCGGGGTCTAGCATGCAGATTTATGCAGATCGCGCGAGGCGGTGCCTCCCTCCATGCAGATTTATGCAAATCACCGTCTCCCTGATGTGTAGCCGTATGCAAATCGCGAACTCTCGCATGCAGATCTAGGCAAACCCTGAGCTTTCTCACTAATCCATCTACATGCATGCAGCTTGTGAAGGCCAGTGCCTCCCTCCATGCAGATTTATGCAAATCGTCCGCCCTGTGCAGTGATCTATGCAAATCGCGCAGCCGGCTTGGGAACCCGTTATGCAAATCCATGCAAACAATTAGCTCTGTTATGCTCTGGGCCAAGGGATCCGCAATGCGAATGAATGCAAATCAGACCGAGATGCAAATTTATGGGATCCTTCGCTCCCCTCACATCAGCTATGCAAATTTATGCAAATCGCCCGATCACTCCAGGCATGTGCAACGCAAACTCCATGAGAGTTTGTGCTCTTTGTCTATGCAAATGTATGCAAATGGCAGAGCGGGCTCAAAACCCATGCAAATCGCCTGCTGTTGCCAGCAAATGCTGAAGGGTTTCGCCTACGCCATGCAAATGCATGCAAATCAGCTGCGCTGTGACATGTAACTGTATGGAAACTGCAGATTTATAGCCCGCTCTTTATGCAGATCGCCCGCCCTCTTCAGCTATGCAAATTAACGCGGGTCCCTGGAGTCCTTTCCTTCTGTTATGCAATTAACCACTTTTCCCAGGGATCCCCTGTGGCCTTGGAAACCCGATATGCAAATCCTGCGCTTTGTTATGCAAATCGCCCGCCGGGCCCAGGGACCCGCTATGAAAATTTATGCAAATAAGCATTGCTCTGATCAGTAAATGTATGCAAATCACACACTCGCAAGCAGAAACCGTGCGCTTTATTCGCTAATTGTGTGCAAATTTATTTAAATATTCCGATATGCAAATCAATGCGTCCAGGCATCTGCTATGCAAAACGGCCGCCCTGTTCTGTGCTGTATGCAGATGCATGCAAATTTCAGGGCCCAGCATGCAAATACATGCAAATCGCCCACTGTTACCCGGCTTCCGATACCGTTATGCAAATCGAAAGCTTCGGTATTAAAATTCATGCAAAACCTCTGCTTGTCCAGGCATCTGCTATGCAAATTTATGCAGATCGCCTAATGGTTTCTACTTTGCAAGTCAGCTGTCGGGTTTGTCCTACGCTATGCAAATGCATGCAAATCAGCTGCGCTCTGACTTGCAACTGTATGCACATCGCGCAGTCTCGCACGCAGATTTATGCAAATAGTGCCCAGGCCAGTGCCTCCCTTCATGCAAATTTATGCAAATCACACATCAGGGTTGTGAATCCGATGCAAATCAATGCAAATCGTCTGCTGCGCCCAATCATCTGCTATGCCAATCCATGCAAATCATGCGCTCTGATATGCAAACCATCCACTGTATTCGGTCCCCGCTATGCAAATCACGCAGCTTTGAAACCATATATGCAAATGCATGCAGATCAACCGACGGGTTTCCCCTGTGCTATGCAAATCAGCTGGGCTGTGCTTCGTAACTGTATGCAAATTGCACACAGTGGCGTGCGGGTTTATGCAGATCGTCCATCCGCTCCATGCAAATTTATGCAAATCGTCCGTCCTGTTCAGTGCTGTGCGCAGATGCGTGCAGATCCCGCAGCCAGCTTGGGGATCCGTGCGCTTGATACAGTCATCCGTCCAAATGCCGCGGATCTCGTTGCCAAGTCCTTCGCTCCACGCAAAAATATGCAAATCACGCAGACGGCCCACGCAAAAATATGCAAATCACGCAGACGGCTTCACAATCCGATATGCAATTGTAGCGCCTTGATATCCAGGCACCCGATATGCAAATGCGTGCAAAGCACGCACTGTTTATGCAAATTGCCCGCTCTCTTCAGCGCTCTGTGCAGAAGCCTGCAAATCACCACGTCGGTGAAAAAATCGTGCGCTCAGTTATGCAAACCACCCGCTCTGTTCCAGGCACCCGCTATGCAGATTCATGCAGATCGCCTTAAATCTTTCATTATCCTGTGCAAATGCAGGCAAACCACGCAGCCAACTCCATTCCGCTATGCAAATCCATGGAGTCGCCTGCTGTGTGCAGGGACCGGCTATGCTAATGCATGCAAATCGGGACGATCCGCTGCGCCCGACATGCAAATATATGAAAATTTCCCCCTAGCCAGACATCCGCCATGTAAATTAATGCAGATCGCTGAGTACATTTTGTAACCTTATGCAAATGCAGGCTAACCAATCAGCCAACCCCACTCCTCTATGCAAATTTATGCAAATCGTCCCCAAACTATGTGGATGCATGCAAATCACACAGTTGTCTCTGGAAACCGATATGCAAAACATGTGTAGGCAGCTCCATCATGCTATGCAGATTTATGCAAATCTGCGTGAGAGTTTATGCAAATTGCTCTCCGTTTCAATGCTCTATGCAAATGTATGCAAATCCCTCGCTGTCTGCCCGGATATGCTGCTGGCTTGGGAACCCGCTATGCAAATCGTGTGCTTTTATATTCAAATCCATGCAAATGGTCTGCTGCGCCCAGGCCTCTGCTATGCAAATCACCCGCTACGTCCTGGCACCCGCTGTGCGAATTTATGCAGATCAGCCGGTGGTGTCTACATCGTTGAGCAAATGCATGCAAATCAGCTCCACCCTTAGATGTAACTCATGCAAATCGCACACTGAGGCACGCAGATCGTGTCCTCTATGCAGAGCTTTGCCGCATGCAAATTTATGCAAATCTTCTTCCCTGTTTAGTGATCTATGCAATGTATGCAAATCACGCAGGGGGGTTCGGTATCCGATATGCAAATCGAAGCAAATTGTCTGCAGTGCCCAATCGTCCGCTATGCAAATCTATGCAAATCATGCGCTCTGTTATGCAAATCACCCGCTATGGAAATTTATGCAGATCACACTATGGTTTTATTATTCAAATGAATGCAAATCACCCGACTGGTTACCCCTACGCTTAGCAAACGCGTGCAAATCAGCTGTGCTCTGATATGCAAATTGCACGCGGATTTATGCAAATCGTGTGCTTTATCCAGTCATCCATCCGCGCGCTACGCTCGATGAAAATTTATGCAAATCTCCTTCCCTGTTTAGTGATCTATGCAATGTATGCAAATCACGCAGGGGAGCTGCGAATCCGATCTGCAATCAATGAAAATCCAGGCCTCTGCCATGCAAATTGTACGCTCTGTTATGCAAATCACCCGCTGTGTCGTGGGATCCGCTATGCAAATCTATGCAGATCACCCTCTGGCTTCGCAAATGCATGCCAATCACCTGCGGGCTTCGCCTTCGCTTTGGAAGTGCATGCGAATCAGGCAACTGTATGAAAATCGAGCGCACTCGCATGCAGATTTATGCAAATCGCGTGCTTTCTTAACTAACCCATACCAGTGCATGCGGATCCCGCCGCCTAGTGCTTCCCTCCATGCAAATTTATGCAAATCGCTGCCCTGTTCAGTGATTTATGCAGATGATTGTAAATCCCACATCCGGGTTGGGGATCCGATATGCAAATCAATGCAAATCAATGCAAATCATCTGCTGTGCAAATCGCCCTCTCTGTGCAATCATCCGCTATGCAAATGCATGCAAATCACCGGGAGTCTGACCTATGGCCGCATGCAAATCGCGCCGTCTCATATGCAGATTTATGCAAACTGCGCTCTCTTCACTGATCCATCCACGTGCTCGCAGATCGCCCAGGCCAGTGCTTCCGCGTATGCAAATTTATGTAAATCGCCCGCTCTCTTCAGGGCTCAGTGCGGACCCATGCAAATCGCCCGGATGGTTTCTACTTCGCTATGCAAATGCATGCAAATAACCTGACGGGTTCCTCGTGCGCTTCCTTCTGATATGCAAATCCATGCAAATTGTGCGATCTGCTATG